TATATGAGGGAGGTATTTCTTCCTCACCCTGTTTAATAAAAATGATTAAAATGAATTATTTGTCGATTGAATTTAATACATTTTGTTACACTCTAGAAGATGCCAAGGAGTTTTTTTCATGCATTTGTTCTCAAACGCTTGGGAAAGGGTTGACATTTTGTGGGCCACCAGGAATCTCTTCTCGCCACAGTCAAACGGAGAAAAATGGCGTGGTTTCGGCACATTACAAGGCACGGCAGCCTGTGCAAGACCAACATTGCAAGGCACCGTTGAAAGTGGACGGAGGAGAGGACGCCAACGTAAAAAAAAAAACAAAAAAAAAACTTGTTGGACAATGTCATACAATGGACATGTATGATTATACCAGAATTGCTGATGTCTACTGTTGATGGACCGTTGTGGAGGACATTCAATATGGCTTCTGCATTCGGACCCCCACCCACTACGATTACAAAAGTCAAGGGGGGGGTGATGATGATGATGATGATGATGATGATGATGTATTTAAATATATATTACAGTATAAATGCTTAGAAAGTTTTGTGGGTACAGAATTTGCTTTCATATCAAAGCAGTTGTCATTTATCTACTTTTGGTGTACACAAACGATAATTTTTTTTTTTACTTGGGAAATTTTAATACTTTGTACGAGAGAAATGATTTGGAATATTTTTTTGACTTTACATTCAAATTTTAAATGCTAATTTAATCCACCAAATATCAATGTAAACTAAGGGTTGGTCAAAAGAAAAAAAAACGAAACATTTTCTGCCTAAAACCATATAAATTGAAGACTTCCAACAGCAGCAACAACTAAAATGGATATTACATGTAACTCAAAAAGAAATAACGAAGTAATCTTGTACAGGCATAGTCAAAAAGAAAGTGCAGATTTCGAATATTAAAAAAAAAAAAAATCCTAAGCGGCAGAAACACATTTAGCACATTACCGGATAGGAAAAGTTTCAAAGTTTATTTCAAGTTTACACTTACAAATTGCAGTAAACAACGCGTATTTTCTTGTGATTTGAACATTTTAAGAGATGGCAAAAATTATCACAATTTAAATTTATACAAAATTTGAAATAAAAAAAAAGAACCATTTAAACAAGATAGAAAAAGCTTTGAATCTTTTTCTCTCTTGTAATGTGTTGAATGCGTTTTAGTCTTTGGGCATTTATTCTTATTAAATATTCGAAATCTGTTCTTTTTTTATAATCTAGTACTTCAGATAAAAAGTTAGGAAGGAAAACCCCATCAATACTGGAAAGAGCGATAACAGCTACTGGACCCCAGAAAACTTTTTTCCTGAAAAATTATTTCAAGAGAAAGATTTTATAAATTTAAAATTATAGCTCTACTGGCTGCTCGGTCAACGATTGCCGAATATTTCCTTAAAAGGAAACGGCTAATATTACCATTATCATCCACATTTCTGACAGGATGATATTTAAAATAAATAACAAAAGATATCAGTAGCAGAAGTGGATGATATCATTATTTAATATTTAATAGTAAAATTGGGATTGGCACAACGAAAATGAAAACTTTTCATTCATTGTTCAGTGCGTCCTTATATGGTCGTTAGAAATAAACATGACATTTGATAGGGAAATAAAAAGCAGGGCGGGCCGCTGTGTAATATCTATAAACGTTTATAACAATGGTTGCTGGAGAATTCCGTCACAAATGAAGAAAAGCAATTAAACCTATTTGATATTTGCTGAACTTTGCTGAATCTACAAGACTGAGGATCGAACTCACAATCATGCTCACTACATCACCCCAAACGATGTAAGTAGACTGAGATAATAACCTCAGATTAATAGATCGATATACATAGGTTGAGATAGATCGATAGATACATTCAACTGAATAGATTGATATAGGTAGATAGATATGAACAAGTATAAATATATATGAACTGACTGACATAGATAGATAGATAGATAGATAGATAGATAGATAGAAATGAATATACAGTGTAACCCGGATATAAGAGAAACCCGGATATAAGAGAGATTTTCTCTGGTCCCAAATTAGAGCCCACACTTACCTAAACAAAATAGACCAAACCCGGATATAAGAGAAACCCGGATATAAGAGACTCCTCTCCGGTCCCGCCAACTCTCTTATATCCGAGTTACACTGTATCGTGTCTTGTCTACTGCGGTCACTTCGCATTAATCCTCTTTAGAAAGGCACGGTACCTTTTCTGTACCTCCTTCCAGCTACGCCTTAAATATCAGGGTAACATTGGCTCTCTCACCTTGGTTCACACCTTGGCAGACAACTAAGTAGAACTCGACTCTGGATTCGAACCGCGGCATTTCCCAAATGAAAATGAAGCTTAGTAGATAAATCACGATCGGACACGCACTGAACGGACATGGCATTTAAGAATAAATGTAGATGGTAACCAAGGAACAAATACAGTGAATTCACTAAATACAAGGCTCGAAATCCACTCAAGATAGACGGTTATTGTTAAAATGCGAATATTGAGGTAAGCTCATGGCTTTTGTTTACCGTAGCTGTATAGTATGTACTTCGCCAGGGCAACATAAAATTCTGAATTCATAGTTTTTCTCCTCCTAGACTAACTGATAACCAAGGCTGATGAAGCAAGTCTGTTCTACTATTTAGCCCTTAGGTGGGGAGAGAAAAGACCGACCGTAGTCTTGAAATCATTGTAAAATCCACTTTCCTTAGCTGCATAATATGTGCTTCGCCAAAGCTACATACAGTTCTGTGTTCATAGTTTTCCTTCTTGACTAGCTGCCAACCAAGGCTGTTGCGGCAAGTCCGTTCTACTATTACCCACAGAAGGCCGACTGTAGTCTTGGAATCATTGTAAACTCCATTTTCCTCAGCTGCATATTATATGCTTCGCCAGGGCTACAGACAGTTCTGAATTCATAATGTTCTTTCTCCTTGAATTGATGCGAACAAAGGCTGATGAAGCCAATCTGTTATACTATTTAACCCACAGCTGGGGAGAGAAAAGACCAACCCTAGTCATCCTGTCATTATAAACTCCACTTTCTTTAGCTGCATAGTATTTACTCCACCTGGGCTACATACAGTTCCGAATTCATAGTTTTCCGTCTCCTAGACAAGCTAATAACCAAGGCAGATGAAGCAATTTGTTCTACTATTTAGCCCATAGCTGGGGACAGGGTGAAATGCCGACCGTAGTCATGGTATCATTGTAAACACCACTTTCCTTAGTTGCATAGTATGTGCTTCGCCAGGGCCACATACAGTTCTGAATTCCTTCTCCTTGACTAGCTGCCGACCAAGGCTGATGAAGCCAGTCTGTTCTACTATTTAACCCACAGCTAGGGAGAGAAAAAACCAACCATAGTCATGGAATCATTGTAAACGCCTCTTTTCTTAGCTGCATAGAATGTGCTTCGCCATGGCTACATACAGTTCTGAACTCATAATTTCCCTTCTCCTAGACTATCTGCTACCAAATCTAATGGATCTAGTCTGTTCTATTATTTAACTTACAGCTGAGCAGAAAAGAGGTGTATACATATCTTTCCCAAGGGTATTTGCGTGTGAGTGAGTGTAATGGGCTCGACTGTAATTCAAAATCGACTCTCCGATTTCTCGTTCTGAGCCGCTATCAATTGCAACACCCGCACATCTATCATTATATATCGCGGCTAATTAAGCAGCTCAGACATTTACAGCTAGGGCTTGCCATGCTACTTCCAGGGAGTCGAATCATCCTCATTTCCACCTCAAATATAAAAGGAAATTTCCACTCAGACAATTTTTTTTCCTCCCAAGATTTACCACTTTGTGGAACAGACTCCCGCGTGGTTGGTTACCTGAACACTTCAGTCTTGACCTCTTTGAGCCAAGGATCAGTCGTTATCTATCCTCCTTATCCTCATACTCTTCATTTCCTACCGTCTTCTATTTCATTCCTATCACATGATCGAGTGTGTGTACGCGTTTTCAGGAAAATAGGAAGAAAAAAAAGATTATATATTGAATCAGAAGAAGACAATTAAATCTGTAAGTTAAGCAACATCGTTCCTGGTCAGAACCTAGATGGGTGACATCATGGGTTTACCAGGTGCTGTAAATTTAGATGTGTTGGTGATGTAATTGATAACGTCTTGCAAATCAGCTCCCCTATTTCCAATTTCAGTTCGTTATATCAACTGACGTGCAAATACCATAGGGAAAGGTGTGAATGAACCTCTTCTCTCCCTAGCTGTGGGTTAATTAGTACAACTTTTATCAGTAAAAAAAAAAAAAAAAACATTATTATCGCTAAAAAAAATCTTAATCTCTAAATATATTTTCTGGCTTTAAATAACCTGTAAAAAGTTGATAAACTGTAAAAAAAAAACAATCGATAACTTTCTAGGACACATAATGGGGAAAGACGACTTAGGGAATTTGAAACTCACAAGATATAGTAAAGATGAGAGAGAAACAGCGAGTCACCGACCAAACAAAATAAATGAGCGTGAAAACAAGGAATAGAAAAAAATTGCAAAAAGAAAAACATCACAAAAAGCTTCAAGGTATGAAGAGACGCGGCACATATCAGTCCTGGATGCGAGTTGGAAAAACTTTTGCGACCGATATCAAATTGGCCAATCATGAAAATTTCCTTTAAGTAAATATCAAGATTTAGTAACTTTTGTCTAACACATGACTTATGAAGCTGCATTTGTTACAGATTTTACAAGTTCTCGTAAGTAGTAAAGAAGGAAAGGAAATGGTAAAAATCTAGGCCACGAGTTCTCAACCTTGCCTGCCCGCAAGTACCCCTTCCACCATTTGTCAGAATGCCATTCTTTTCAAGGCGACAGGCCAGATAGGCCAAATTCTATAATTGCTCTCATCGCCTCCTAAACTTACTGTGGTCACAATTCACTCCTGAAAATCCAAACTTCAGCCACCCCCAGGGGATGAATTTCACCCCTGTTGAGAAGCCCTGCTCTAGGCAGACACATGAATTCAGGAAGGAATCAAAGAGAAACAGGTGAAAAATAAAGAAGAGAGAAATAAAGAAAGGGAATAAATGTGGGAAAAGTATAAAAGTGAAAAGAAGGAGAAATAGAAAGAAAATTGGAAAGAAAAAAAAGAAAGAAAAATAGAAAGAAAGAAAAATAGAAAGAAAAAAGAAAGAAAGAAAAATGGAAAGAAAGAAAAATAGAAAGAAAAAAGAAAGAAAGAAAAATAGAAAGAAAGAAAGAAAGAAAAATGGAAAGAAAAAGAAAGAAAGAAAAATGAAAAGAAAGAAAAATGGAAAGAAAAAAGAAAGAAAGAAAAATAGAAAGAAAGAAATAAAAAAGAAAGAAAAATGGAAAGAAAAAAGAAAGAAAGAAAAATGGAAAGAAAGAAAAGAAAGAAAAATGGAAAGAAAAAAGAAAGAAAAAAATGGAAAGAAAGAAAGGAAGAAAAATGGAAAGAAAAAAGAAAGAAAGAAAATTGGAAAGAAAAAGAAAGAAAGAGAAATGGAAAGAAAAAAGAAAGAAAGAAAAATAGAAAGAAAGAAATAAAAAAGAAAGAAAAATGGAAAGAAAAAAGAAAAAAAGAAAAATGGAAAGAAAGAAAAGAAAGAAAAATGGAAAGAAAAAAGAAAGAAAGAAAATTGGAAAGAAAAAGAAAGAAAGAAAAATGGAAAGAAAAAGAAAGAAAGAAAAATGGAAAGAAAAAAGAAAGAAAATTGGAAAGAAAAAGAAAGAAAAATGCAAAGAAAAAAGAAAGAAAATTGGAAAGAAAGAAAAATAGAAAGAAAAAAGAAAGAAAGAAAAATAGAAAGAAAGAAAGAAAGAAAAATGGAAAGAAAAAGAAAGAAAGAAAAATGAAAAGAAAGAAAAATGGAAAGAAAAAAGAAAGAAAGAAAAATAGAAAGAAAGAAATAAAAAAGAAAGAAAAATGGAAAGAAAAAAGAAAGAAAGAAAAATGGAAAGAAAGAAAAGAAAGAAAAATGGAAAGAAAAAAGAAAGAAAAAAATGGAAAGAAAGAAAGGAAGAAAAATGGAAAGAAAAAAGAAAGAAAGAAAATTGGAAAGAAAAAGAAAGAAAGAGAAATGGAAAGAAAAAAAGAAAGAAAAATAGAAAAGAAAGAAATAAAAAAAAAAAAAAATGGAAAGAAAAAAAAAAAAAAAAGAAAAATGGAAAGAAAGAAAAGAAAGAAAAATGGAAAGAAAAAAGAAAGAAAGAAAATTGGAAAGAAAAGAAAGAAAGAAAAATGGAAAGAAAAGAAAGAAAGAAAAAAAAAAGAAAAAAAGAAAGAAAATTGGAAAGAAAAAAAGAAAGAAAATGCAAAGAAAAAAGAAAGAAAATTGGAAAGAAAAAAGAAAGAAAGAAAAATGGAAAGAAAAAAGAAAGAAAATTGGAAAGAAAAAAGAAAGAAAGAAAAATGGAAAGAAAGAAAGAAAGAGAAATAAATTTAAAGCTTGAATCAGAAAGAATGAAAGAAAGTGAAATATAAACCAATTACATAGAAAGCAACATAGAAGAATTCAGAAAGAAAAAGAAAAATCAGAAAGAAAGTAGGCAAAAAGAAAAATCAAAAAGTAAAAAGCAAATAAAAAGAAAAAGGAAAATTCTAAAAAAAGGAAAAGAAAAAAAGAAAACGAATGAAAAAGCAAAAGAATAAATCCTAAAGAAAAAGAAAAAAAAACGAAAGAGAACAAGACACAAATCAGAAAGAAGGAAAATAGAAAGAGAAAAAGAGCAAATTAGAAAGACTAGGGAAAGAGAATAACTACTTATCAGAAAGAAATAACGAGATGTAAAGAATAAATAAGACAGAAAACAGTAAATGAAAAAACAGAAGAGAACGAAAAAGTAATAAAGAGCCGAAGAAAAAGAAGTGAAATAAAATAAAATAAATTTCACTACGACAATTTCTTCGTCTCTTAAACAAATAAATCAAGCAAATGGCGAAGAATTATTAAAAGAAGGAGATATGAACAAAAACAAAGCAAAAAACTATTGGAAATAAAGAAATGCGAAATTTGGCCGGTTAGTTTCAAAGTTTTCAATCTCATTTCTTTGCTGTCGTTCTATTTCCCTTTGCAATCTGTTCCTGTGCAGCCAACGCGCATGTTCAGTAGAAGAACGTCAGCTCAATGAGTTTGCGCAAAAACTACACAAATGACAGACGATATGATAGAATATTAATTATACATAGCATCGCTGCCAAACTTGAAATGTTCTTTTACCCTAAAACCAACAACGTCACAGTCTTCGTTTTTTTTTTCTCTTTCTTTTTTACCACTGCATGTTTTGCCCGATATTGCCATAAATACCACTAGTCATATTCCTTTCCATTATTTCCCTCCTTCACCCCAACTTGTTCTCTTTTTGAATACATACGAGATATGGTTGATATATAATGTCTCCTACCGCGTGGCTCCAATAATAGTAGATATAAAACATGTTTGAACATTGACAAGACCACCATTCGCCCTTGCTTTGAGTATTGCTGCCACATTTAGTCTGGTGATCCTGCTATATATTTAGAGGTCTTTGATAAAATCCCCCCAAAATAATCTGCAATGTTATGGGTTCTGACCTGGCATCTCGACTTCAGTCACTTTCCCACAGCTATAACTTTAAACCAAAAAAATAAGTATAACCAAGTCGATTAGATTTATATATATATATATATATATATATATATATATATATATATATATATATATATATATATATATATATAGTGCAGGGAAATAAATATTCGTACACATGAAAAGCCTTTACTAAAACAAATTTTGATACATTTTATGTGTAAAGATACATTTTATTAAAAAATAGTCATAAACTTAATTAATTCTTATACTAACAGAAATTAATGCATTTTTTTCATTTTAACTGATAAAAAAGGATTCGTACAAAACAAAAAAAGCATATTAACTTAATTTAATACTTTGTGGAATATCCTTTATTGAGTTCAACAGCTACCAGTCTATTCCTGTACGTCTCAACTAATGATTTGCACACATTGAGTGGTATTTTGTCCCATTCTTCTTGGTATATTGTCTTCAAATTCTTGATATTTGTTGGTGCTCTTTTCCCACTTTGAATTTTCAAATATCGCGATAAATTCTCGATTGGGTTCAAGTCTGGGGACTGACTTGGCCATCGCAAGACATCAACGTTACTTTCAGCTAACCATTTCCTTGTAGATCTAGCGGTATACTTAGGATCATTATCCAGTTGGAAAACCCAATCAGGAGGTAAGCGAAGTCTCTCAACAGAACGCATTAAATTGTCCTGTAGGATTTTCTGGTAGCTTTCGGCATTCATCTTGCCATCTATTATTGATATTCTGCCAACATCTTTTGCAGAAAAACAGCCCCAGATCATAATACTGCCACCACCAAACTTTACAGTTGGCAACGTGTTCTTTGGCAAGTAGGCTTCACCGTCCTTCCTCCACACATGATTTCGATAATTATGACCAAACAACTCTATTTTAGTTTCATCTGTCCATAGTACTTTTCCCAAAACGAATATTCTTTATCCTTATGCTCTCTAACGAATTTTAGCCTAGCATCTCTATGTCGTTTCAAGAGGAGTGGAGTCTTCCTTGGGATGCGTGATTTCAGACTGTTTTTGTGTAGTTCACTACTTATTGTACGCTTGGTTACTTTAATCCCTAATGCACGCGCATATTCCTGCAGTTCTTCTCGGGTAACCTGTGGATTTTGTTGGATCTGGCGTCCTAATATCCTTGCTGATCTTAAAGAAATCTTCCTAAGAGCACCTGTTCGTCTTTGGTTTTCGACGCTGTTACGAGTTTTAAACCTTGCAATGAACGGAGCAATTGTAGTAAAAGGAATATTCAGGTTGTTAGAAATCGTTCTGTAACTGTTCCCATCTTTCCAAAGAGACAAAATGTGTTGTTTTGTGAAATAGTCAATTCTTTACCTTTAGGCATTATTAGAACCTTCTCGTAAGGCTAGAATGCTCTGATAATGGCTAATAGCGTTAACTATAATTACTGATAGCATTTCTGGAACATTCTAGAATATACTTTTTTCATAATTAATTGATTATTTTATTCTAATAATTGATTTGTACGAATACTTTTTTCACCAGTTAGAATTTTAAAAAATGCATCAATTTCTGTTAGAATAAGAATTAATTAAGTTTATTATTATTTTAACAGTATGTGTCTTTATACATAAAATGTGCCGAGATTTGTTTTATTTAATGCTTTTACATTTATAAAAATACAATTTTTCAAGTGTACGAATATTTATCCCCCCCTCCACTATATATATAAAAGCAAACACACAAAAATGTAATTCTTGTTGCACAAGGTTGACTGTTTCTTGTATGTGAATAATAAACAAACACAAATACTTCGAATAATTTCGGTAAAGGAGAAATGTGGCCTTCGTTTTAACCATTTTTGGTCTGTTTTTAGTGCAACTTCTACAACTTAACTTCTTTGTGTTTCTTCTACAGATACTTTCATTTTAATTGTTCTGATGAACTTTCCTTTCTCTTATATATGGCGACTAGTTAGAACTTCGCAGAGACTTTGAGGCATTATGGTGGATATAGTAAGAATTTTAAGAATGTAAGAAAATTAAGTAAAGAGGGTGGAGGTGGGGGAGTTGAGCTTAATTTTCTATTAAGCGTAGATCTGACATTTGATTAGTTGATCAAGACATACCAACAAGTCTATTTTTAATTCTGACCTTGAGTTTTCTCCCCGCCCACTCTACCTTTATCTTTCGGAAAAGAGGTATCACTTTGCTTTTGAAACTTTCTTAAAAATCATTTAATCACTAGTCACTTACCATCGCCTGAAGAGGTACAATGTAGTGCCGAAACACGAAAACTATTGTGAGGCGATTTCAACATATTTTTGTTATAATATCTTATAAAATAAAATAATAATAATAATAATAATAATATATATATATATATATATATATATATATATATATATATATATATATATATGATTAAAAAATCTTTCCCTTTCCTGCTTCGGTTTAGTCAAAAGCCTACTAATATATAATAAATATTATCAGTCTTATTACCAATATTGTTATCATTTTGTTATCTTTTTATTCCTTGAATTTTAATAACAGGTTTATTAAATCTCCCTCCCTCTCTCTTTCTTGTCGATGGTTGTGCTAGCACGAAGTCACAAGTCAGCGTGACCGAGAATGTGAGCGAACTAGTCTTGTTCAAAGAAATTATCACGCAAAAAATTATACGCTCTCTCTCAGTAACTGCAACTAAGGTCCGCTCAGCATAGTTACAGTTTAAACCACAGCTGAGCTGTGTGTGTCGAGTGGGCGTCTGTAATAAGGCTTTGCTTGACACCCTAGCAAACGGGTGTGTTCGGAAACTAGTAGCCAGCCATTATGTAGTACTGAGATGATAGTAATGTCTGATAAGAATACACGACTGAATTTTTTATAGCTAAAATAATTGTTTGTTCACTTGCGAACTACGTCAAATTAACGTCACTTGAATTAAGGGTTTGATGTTTCTTTTATTGTTCATTTTATTTGTTCATTTTTTCAGTTTCTTTCCTTTTTTTTTTTCTTCTTTTATTCCCTTTCTTCTCTCTTTCTCTTTTATTTTGTCGCTTTATTCTTTCTTTCTGATATTTCCTTTCTTTCTAATGGTCTTTAATTTTTTTCTTCTTTGATTTGTTTTTTTTTTTTTTTATCTGTCTTCATTCTTTCTTTCTGATATGTTCCCTTTTCAGTTTTTTCTCCATTTTGATTTGTTCGTTTTCTCTTTCTTTCTTTATTTGTCCCTTTTTTCTCTATCTTTTCTCTTACTTTTTAATTCGTCCTTTTTCTCTTTCTTTTTATTTGTCCATTATGCTTTTCTCTTTCATTTTTCTTTGTCCGTTTTACTCTTTCTTTTCTCTTTTTTTTATTCGTCTTTTTCTCTTTCTTTTCTTTTATTGTTTGACTTGTCCTTTTTCTCTTTCTTTTTTATTTGTCCATTTTCTTTTGCTTTTTGCTTAGTCCTTTCTTTCTCTTTTTGATTTGTCCTTTTTTCTTTTTTTTTATTTGTCCTTTTTTCTTTTTCTTTGGTCGTTCTTTGTGATTTTTCCTTTTTCTCTTTCTTTTATATTTGTCCTTTTTTTCTCTTTCTTTTACATTTGTCCTTTTTCTTTTCTCTTTCTTTTTCATTTCTCTTTCTTTTCTCTTACTTTTTGGTTTGCCTTTTTTTCACTTTCCGTTCTCTTTCTTTTTTATTTATACATTTTTCTCTTTTTTATTTGTCCTTTTTTTCTCTTTCTTTTCTCGTTCTTTTTCCTTTTTTTCTTTTCTCTTTGTCATTTTTCTCTTTCTTTTCTCTATCATTTTTATTTGTTTATTTTACTCTTTCTTTTCAATTTCTTCTTAATTTGTCCTTTTTTTCACTTCCGTTTTCTCTTTATATTTGTCCATTTTTTTTTATTTCTTTTTTTTGATCTTTCTTTTGTCTTTCATTTTATTTGTCCATTTTCCTCCTCCTTTTCTATTTCATTTTTATTTGTCCTTTTTTTTCTCTCTCCTTTTACTTTCTTTTTGATCTGTCCTTTTTTTCGCTTTCTTTTTCATTTCTCCTTTTTCGACTTTTCTGATTTTTTAATTTCTTCTCTTTCTATTTTCTTTCTTTCTGAATTTAACTTCGGAAAGGCATCTTTGAATATTCAAGGCGCCTTCGTATTTACGTGTCATTTTGTGTCGCCTGTTAAAACACATCTCAGATAGTTACATTTCTGTACTTTGACGTCTCCATTTTGTAGATCGCATCTTTGGTTATCCTTTTTGCTAACGACTAAACCTGCCGTCAATTGATGGTTAGTTCATTAATTATAATTAAAAAAATAAAAATCTATGTTCCCTTAGTCAGACTTGGCGAATAACCTTATATGAAATAGGACATTTCTGGTAGACTACAATCAAGTGCCTTTTCATGTTTCATTTATGGAAAATGTTTGCAACTTAGAATCTAAGTCCCGTTGGCTTTTAAATTACACCTCCGTCCGTGGAGCAAACCAGGTATGAACATGATTTATTTCAGGTGAATTAATTACTTGTTCATTACTTTTCCACTTATAAACTTATCTCCATTAATTATCTGAGAGACCTCTCTCTGCCTTCCATCAGCATGACTGGTGCTAACCTCCAGGAAAGTGACCCTTATCGGACTAATATTATCAGCTGACATGAAGTGGAAAGCCTATATTGAAACCATTGTTAGGTCAGCTACTAAGAAAGTCGTTTCACTGTTTCGTGCGAGACAATTTTCAGCCCTAGAATCTATCTTACATATCTATAAGTCTACCATTCTTTCATGCTTAGAATATTGCTGCCACATATGGACCGGTGCCACTGGTATTTGCCTAGAGCCCTTTGAAGAGATTCAAAGAAGAATCAGCAATATTATTGGTCCTGATCTGGCAACTCCACTTCAGTCACTTAGACACCGCCATAAGGTTGCCTCTCTGTGCCTTATTTATAAATCCTTTCATTTGTTCAAATGAACGCTATGGTATCTAGACTTCATGAAGTCTAGATACCATAAGCGCAGTATTAGACTGGTGTCGAGATCTTATCAATTGACAGTTGAGCTGGCTAGATGTAGCCTAAATTCTATGCTAACAATTTCTTTTCTCGCACTTCTCACGTGTGGAACTCTCTTCCGGCTCTATGTATTCCAAACAACTTTAATACTTGATCCTTACATCTCAGAATCAAATCTATACCTTAACCTTATATCTCAGAATCAATTCTATACTTGATCGTTACATCTCAGAATTAAATCAATACTTGATACTTACATCTCAGAATCATACCATTATATTATCAGATCATGTCTGTACTTGATTCTTAAATTTCAAAATCAATTATCTACTTACATCTCAGAATCAAATCTGTACTTGATACTTACATCTCAGAATCAAATCTATATATGATACTTACATCTCAGAATCAGATCTATACTTGATACTTACATCTCAGAATCAAATCTATATATGACTTTCATCTCAAAATCAAATCTATACTTGATACTTACGTCTCAGAATCAAATCTATACTTGATACTTACATCTCAGAATCAAATCTATACTTGATACTTACATCTCAGAATCAAATCTATACTTGATACTTACATCGCAGAATCAAATCTATATATGATACTTACATCTCAGAATCAAATCTATACTTGATCCTTACATCTGAAAACTGTTTTCAGACTTGAGTATGACATCTTTTATGAAAAATATTTTCCACGGAAACGTTTGGCTTCTGTTAGTTGTTAAAATACAATTTCAAAATGCTCATACTTTTTTTTTCTATCTTGCTTTTTTGCTTTAAATCATTATAATCTCGACAATAGTCTCACAATCTAAAAATATTTTTCTGGCTTTAAATAGGATGCAAAAAAGCCATAAGAAACAAACCAAACAATCAACTTATTCATAAATTATCGCAATACAAATTTCCTTTCAATTACTTTTTTTTAATTTTCATTAATCTCGATAGCATTAGCTTTCAACTTGGTATTTACGTTCAGGACACAGTCATTTACTCCTCCCTCGACAGTAAGGATGATGAGTTCGATAAAATCAAATTGCCTGCAGATATCCAAAACGACCTCAAGTCCGTTGTTAACTGGGGCAAAAGATGGCTTGTTAATTTTAACGCCCCCAAAACTAAACTTCTCTCCATTAATCATCTGAGAAACACCTATCTGCTTTTCATCAGCATGGCTGATGCTATACTTCTCAGGTTAACATTCTCAGTTGACATGGAGTACAATGTCTATATTGAATGCATTTCTAGGTCTGCTGCTGAGGAAGTTGTTTCACTGTGCCGAGCAAGACAAATTTTCTAACCAGAATCTATCAGATATTTATGTCTATCATTCGTCCTTGCTTAGAATATTGATGCTACATATAGTCCGGTGCCCCTCCTGTTTACTTTGAGCTCGCTTAGAAAATTGAAAGAAGAATCAGCAATATTATGAGTCCTGATCTGGCGGCTCAGTTTCAGTCACTTTCCCGCCGCTGTAAGGTTGCCTCGCTTTGTCTTTTCTATAAAAATTTTCATGGTAATTGTTCGGATGAGATCTTCGCTATGGTACCTAGACTTTTTAGTTTACGTACAGTACTAGTCATGCGGCGCGATCTCATCAATTTCCGGCCAAACTTAATCTGCAAAATTTTAAACGGAATGTCATCGCTATCTACTCTCCTCCTGATTCCTCTTTTCTCTTCCTGCTCATTAGTAATCCTTCTGTTTCTAATTCTTCTACACCCAGTAACTCCTTGTGTCTTAGTGGCTTTACTGCCTTGCTTGTGGAACTCCATTCCGACTCCATGCATTCCAGCCAACAGAAATCTTGAAAAATATAAATGCAATGTCAATCGCTATCTACTGTCCTCCTGATTCCTCTTTTCTTTTCTCGCTCATTACTAATGTTTCTGTTTCTAATTCTTCCACACCCAGTAGCTCTTTGTGTCTTAGTGACTTTAATGCCTTGCTTGGGTTGAAATCGATTAAAAACATTACAACGCAGTGTAAAAGTTTCTGGAAAGTCAAGTTCGTTTTTGTAAAATCAAATCCACAGCATTTTAATGTTGAATTCCACAGTAATTGTTAAACTAGTTTATCTGGATCTTGATTAAATTCAATGTCTGGGGGTCATAAGGATCACTAAAAAAAAAAGTCTGTTTGAGAGAGAGAGAGAGAGAGGGGGGATTGTAGAGATCAAATTAGATCGAAAACGGCCTTCCCTCATGCCAGTCACTATAGTTAGTAAAGTCCCCCAAAATAGTAGCCCCATGAACAAATTGTCATATTGCCATATCTTCTAGTGAATCCCAATCTATGCCGATCTATGTATTCCTTCAGTGTCAAAACTGGACAAGTAGAAACTAAGTGGTCAATACTCTCAATATGTTGGTCACATAATACACATATTGGATCTGTGCCATTTTTATTAATATTTTTATTATGTTTGCTTTTTAATTCCTGATAAACACGCTTTGAAGTCATTATAAATACTTCTGTCTCTGCTTTTAGCCTTGTACTCTTCACAGCCACTGATTCGTTCTGGGTTTATCTACATCAGCATCATTAATTCTAGGTGCATAGTCCCTGTATAAGGATCTTTGTTCCCAGGTGTTTTTTTTTTAAGTTAGTTAACCCTTCCGTCTTAACATGCATCTTTATAATTTTATATGCATTTGTTGACAGCATATTTGTATTTATTTTCTTGACAATGATGCTAGGTTCTGTTAGGAATTTATTGTTCTTATAAATGGAGGATTTATTTTTTTTACTTTTCTCATGATAATTAAAAAGCTATAAAATCCAGTCAGATATGGTCTCGAAATAGTTTTATAGGTTAGATGAAGATGAATTTATTATTATTATTATTATTATTATTATTATTATTATTATTATTATTATTATTATTTCCTTTGATTTCTGATGTGTACTCATTTCTTTCCGGGTCACGCCCAGGGACCTAAGGTTAGAAATGGCATCATGACATTTTCCACTGGAAAAAAAAAATTTACATAGACAAAGCCCTTCGTATGGTGTGGGCTGTACTCGTGAGAACAATTTTTTTGTATTTCTTTAAGGCATGAACTTCCAGGAATCCCTTCAATTAGTCTACTGGTATTTTTTCCAACCAATCCATGGGCTCCAGCTACAACGGGGATTGTTGATGTTGATGTGCGACATTTTTGAGATTTCAATTTCAAGGTCCTTGTATCTTTTTGAAGATCTTCACAGATACATTGCAGTCTGCAGGTACTTCCATATCAATAAGGAGGCACTTTTTTGTGTGCGATCTCTAAGAACAATGTCTGGGCGGTTAGCTTTGATTATTATTATTATTATATTGAATATCTTATGGTAATGTTGCTGTGCAGATGTCTTGAGTACCAGGGACAATAATGCCTGTCAAGTCGCCACAAGGTCCTCAAACATACCGCACTTTTCGAATTATGTTAAGGCAGATTTTTGTATCGTTCGCAAAGTGTATTTTAGACCAAGATGGTTGACACTTTCTTAAAGCTTCATTAGAATGGAGTCAATCACCCAAATCACTACTGAGATTACTTTAACATTTTTCTCAGCATTTTTTCATAATCTGGAAATCTAAGTCTTCAGTTCCGAATCTTTCTGTTTGTTTTGCTCTTATATTGTATTAAGCAGATATCGTCACATTATTATCATTATTAAGCAAAATGAGTGACGTGTCTCTTTTAATATTTTTCAACCGTCACGAGAACCCGATTCAAGAAAAGATAAGGGAAAGAAAAAACAATGTTTGACGACGTTAAAAAATATTTCAACAGAATGTCTGTCTTCCTTAAGTTATATTGTTTTTAATTTTCAAGTTCAAAAATATATAAACCTACAAAATATTAAAAGTCTCTGTACAAATGTTGCTTGTCCTGTAAGGAAAAAAAAAACAAAAAACCAGCTGCACTGGTAATGAACGCGTCAAAACGAATGAAACGTCGCCCGGGTGGAGACATGCAACATGCTTAATATCGTTCATCTTGGA